TTTTCTTTGTTTAAAGCATTTATAACAGTCTCCCGCCGCAATGAGGATTCTGATTTCATAACCATCTCAGAAAACGATGGCCAAAGACTGCCTATGCTGCTGAAATGCTTCTTCGAGTGCGAGTTCCAGAAATTCTTAAATGTCATTATCGGCACGTAAAAAAACACCTGCACTCTAAAAAGCGAGGGGATGAAGAGTTGTTGATACTTAACAAATTGATAGTAAAATCAAATGACGATGAGTGGACATGCTAAAAACTTAAATCCTAGATTTCCATCTCAACATGTTCAACAACTCAGTAAGGCGAAAAAACAAGGCAACAGAAGACATTCCGCACTATAACACAATATGCACGATTTGAAACATATAGTAAAAAGAAAATTCACGTAAAATAGTGCAAAATGTAAAAGAAACATAACCTCAACACGTTCAACATTGCAGAAGTGTATAATATACACATGAAAAAAAAAAAATTTGAAAAATCAACAATGGTTCATATGGCTGGATTTTTTTTTCTTTTCTTTTCTTTTGAATGATTAGTCTGGGCAAGGTTTATAATACTCCTCTTGGGGACAATTTTCCAAAGGCGAATGAACAAGTATAGTGGCAGCAAGGAGTATCAGAATCTTCAGTTGGCTTCTCTTCCTCTCCACCAGCAACACATTTTTGAAGAAAAATGAGTTGGGCATAGACAAGGGGGTATCCATATAGTCAAATTTTCACTCAAAAATCAAGATTAATGATGCTGACTTTCAGAAACTGGCTATGGAATTACGCTTCCAAATGGTAAACATCTCAAGAACGAATAATAGATTAGAATTAATACTGGAATGAACATCGCCAATTTTTTCACGCGAATTTTGAAGTGGATATATTGTGGGAATTGGAGGGAGATTCTGCAGCTTCAATTAGGAGTTTTTTTTAGGAAGTTCTGGACGCTCCTTTTCCCTTACAAAGATTAATATTGGAATAAAAAGAACTAATAGTATTTTTACAATCCCCTGAAAATAAATAGTGGGTGTAATTTCCACTTCAGACAAAGCTAGTTTTTTTAATTGTTCATAATTTCAGTGTCATAATTTCAGTGTGGCCATACTTTTGTATTCTAATTATTAAAATTATTTTACTGGATTATACGTAATAAAGAGAATTACGAGTATGTTTGAGCCACATTATTTTGGAAAAATATATTTTCGAATAGTAGATTGATGGAGAATGTTTGGTTGAAAAAGAAAAAAATTATTGATGTGATGAAAAATATTATTTTATTGAACAATGTGTGGCTAAAAATGAATAGAAGAAATTTTAATGTGACTCAAACAGGAGCTACATCTCAACACACCTCAGGCTCACAACAATCAGTTTCATACACAACCGAGGTGATTGAAAACGCTTGCCGGCTGGCTCTCTATGCATTGGATCTCCCATTTATCTTCTTGTCCTTGATGAAAGTATCATTCTCAGTAGGTTGTAAAATTAAATATTTGAGAAGGGGAAGGTGTGTCATTCCATTTTTCTTCTGTTCCTGAATTCAACGAGAAAAACAAACAAATATCCACTATAGAAGTATAAGAAAAGATACCAAGAGAGGAGGGTGGGGAAAGAAGGTAGGGGGAGAGAGGAGGGAGAAATCAACAGAAAGATCATTTAACTAATTAAATTATGTTCTCTGTTTGGTAAAGTACATAAAAACATAATCATAAAACTAGGAACTAAGAATGCTAGCCTTGTATTCAGAAATCATGGAAGAGCATGAGAGCACCATCAAGATTCATCAATGAAGATTCCAGTATAATCCTAACTTTTCCCAAGCGCTTGTATCTTTTTTCCAGTTCCCCTATGAGCTTTTCTTTGGGCAACTGAAGAATCTGGTACAGGTTACACGAAAGTGTTAGCAAATAGGATAACTCATTGCCAAGATACAAGATTGGATTTCAGAATGTTGACAACGGTTAATTAGTTTTTTTTAAGGGCATCTCTTTTCATTTCAGCATTGTGTTCCTTTAGCAATTTTGGATAAAGTTTGGTTAAGCTTAAAATGTTAATTATAAATAAACAAGTCTTGTAAAAAACTCTTATTGATCAAGAAAATAATAAAATTAGCGTTGAGTTACTTTGGAAAAAGTAATGTGTTTTACTTAAAGTAAGAAAAAAGTAACTTATCCAAACATGTTCGAAAAAATTACTTAAAAGCAACTTTAACTAATTTTTAAACTTAGCCAAACATGCTTTCTTAAAAAAGTTAGGAAGCTTTGGAAGAATACTGGTTAAGATAGCCAATTTCAGAATTTCTGATACCGGTTTACCATGTTTTAGGATAGTGTTACCAATTGCGAATTTATAATGTTATTAGTGTCATCTGGAATGTGTTGATTCATCATAAGAACTCCCGAGAAAAGATTACAGTTGGATAATATTACGAGATGTACATAGAAGAAAAGAATATAATAAGAGTTGTTGTGCACATAAACATACCTCTTTTTCCTGATCTAGCTCATAGGTGATTCGCAGTCTCAAGTTCAATGCAGCATGGTACATTTCATCAAGAACACGTACCCACAGAGACTCCTTGTTTATTTCCCACAACAAAAATAGAGTCTGTTTAGGTCCGTTTACTGAGACTTTCTGCATTGAGAATCTCAACATTGTAAGTTTGAACTCAAAGTTTCATCCATTTACTAAATAAGTTAAGATAACTACATTCTGCAACACTACCAGCAAACAGAACAAGTAATCTAAATTCAAATGTAAAAGAGGACGAGAGCATAACTATTAAAAGAACTGTGGTTGAGAACTTTCAAAGCTTTTAAATGAATAAATTTTTTGGTATTCTGTTCTTATTTTATGTATCAATTTCTAGTCACTATCACTGTTTTTCAGCATAACAAAAGGTGGAATGTTTTACAATCAACATGGGTTGAATGACAGAGAAAATGATTCCTATCACAAAAGAATTGGAGGACTTCTGGTTGATGCTCTCACGCCCATCTGTAAATTTAGGATGTGGACCTAAGCTAAGCAAAGCAATCAAGAATGATTTACTGACTCATCTTACTAATTTTCGTTTTAGAATGCACCCATCATTTTCTGTTGTATCACGCTAAGCACATAATCAAAAACTGGATTTATGCTATAACAATTAGATTTGGTGCTTACTTCCAACATAATATCATGGACCAGCACCTAAATAAATGCACACAGCATCTACTTCTCTAGAAACACAGGAAAGAAATAAAAGTTACCTCCATATGCAAATAGCCATCCTTCCAAAGCTTGTATAGAATCTTCAATGTATCTTTCTTCTCCACGAAGGTTGTATCTGAAATCTATTTTAGGAATATAAAATAAATCATATAATGCACCAGAAGATTTTCTGTCCAAGCAATTTTTTATATTTATATATGAACATATTCTCTTTCACATGAAAGCCAATACACCAAAAAAGTTGCTGGAATATTGCAAATGATGGAAGAGTTTTCAATCCCAACCATGTAACAAGATGAAAAAAAAAAAGAAAGAAAGAGAGAGAGAAAGAAAGAAAGAAAAAACTATGATCTATTACACTAGAAAACGATGCACCTAAAACAGAAATGTTGAGTAAAAGAATTATGGACTAAATAAAAGCCCAATTCCAAACAATGAAAGTGGCCAAAATGCAGACAGAACTTTCATTGTTTACATAATGTGCGACAGCATTTTCAAGATGTGAACACATAGTGGCCGAAGAAAAGCTTCAACTGGAACCACTATGCTAGATCATGCATTATTAAATGCAGATTCGTTCTATACAGACAATTCAGATATTTGAAGATGGAGATGCTTGCATATTATAGATGTCTATTTAAACAAGTATTGTATTCTTTGAAATAGTAATGCATTGCTGAAAATAATTATGATGAGAGATTTGATCCATGTCAGAGACTTCAATTCAAATTTTAAGCTGTTGTTTCCACGCATTCTTTGGCAGAAAAACATTAAGAAAGCTAATCCAAAATCTCATTCCGAGCCATTTCCATGTTTCAAAGATATCTGAAGACCTTTTGTCCAAAAACTTGAAATGCATTATGGAACTGTCTTTGAATCGCATAGTTTAGAAGTTCTATGGAGATCTTCTCTGGTACATCCAGTAAAAATGGAAATGATACTTAACTAGCATTCAGGTAAAAAGAGCATAAATGTTTTCTGGGATAAAGAACTTATCAATGTAAAATATGAGGGTTTGACTACAGGAAAATACAAGTGATTCGAAATGTCTCAAAAGTTGATGCATGTGCAAAAAATTAACAACCACATTAATCCATCTTTAGGAAAAGAAAATTTCAAAACAGATGCGGATCAGCAAAATCAGTTAAATAGTATCGACTGTACAGCATCGTAGATAAATTCTGAAGGCCTGTTAATAAACTAAAGGAAGGTATTCATAAAATACCTTGTCAGTCTCAAGAAGACTGCCAGACTTTGAAAGTAACCTGAAAATCCTATAGGCTTCCCTTCCATATCTTTTCAATACAACAGATTCCACCTGCAATTACACAATTAACATCAGATACTTCAAACATAACTTTTTGAACAAAAATCAAAGAAGAATGAAGGGAAAAAAAAGAACCTCTTCATTTTGAGCCAGTTCAATAATTTTCTTTAAATCTGTAGAGAAACAAAAGCATCAAACACGATAGAGAAATGGAATGCGTTAATCTCAGCAAAATTTAAAACATTTCACAGCCACAGTTTAGCTCTCTGCTATAAAGTACAAGTACCAATGCTATATGTTTCATCTATCCCAGTTGTGGGGATTTGACAACCAAGCTGGACGAGAGAAGCTCTGATACGTTCTAAATCCATGCCAAGACCACCATCCTTCTTTATCACTTCATCGTAAATATCATTTATTGACAAGGAAGCTGAAAATTTTCCTTTATAAGTTAGATGAGAGGGTGGTAAGTACATCCAGATAAAAAATAAATATCGAAAATGGAAAATTTTCAGATTACAGGGCACTATTACGTTACGTATGATAATTCTACATTATAACCTCCTAGTGCATGACATACACAGAAGTGAATAAGGAAGTCAAAAGCACCATCAAATTATGGGGAGCCGTGGTGGTGGGGGTGGGCAAAGAGTAAACTGCAACGTTGGGCCGACTAGCACTCTATGCGATATTGCATGGTACAACGAAGCATGTCAAAAAGGATGCGTAAATCCCCATGGTTGCTCAAAACAGAAAACGACATATCATTCTCAGGAGGATAAAAACTTGAATAACTAACAATTTTCATTTTAATATTTTAAACCCCAAAATTTGCAAGAAAATTCATGATTACCAATTTTTCAAACCAGTTAAGCTCAACAGGAAAACATGATACAAGCTGAACCCAACTGCACTGTCAGTTAATGACCATGGGAATTGGGAAGTAAATAATATCCTTTCTTCTCTCAGCCTCTTCAGTTTATTGTTATGATTGCAATTAACTAAACGTTCACTGCAATTTTTTTGTGGCCTGCCCATATTACCTATTTAATTCTTTGCCAGTATAGAGATAATCAACTGATAACATAATAACTACATCTGCTTCCTTCCAAAAAAAACATGAAGGGGAATGAAGATCCAAATAACTTATCAGCATCAATCATAAGCTGATTAATACAGCCTAAGGCCAAACTGAATCTTCTCAGAAGGTTTCCTTCTGGGATTGAATCTCTTGTAAGTGCTTTCCGAATTCATTCGTGGAATTCAACGATGGATCTCCATCCATCTTATATAACCTTCAAACTTGTTTATCAACTTAACTAGTGCTTGTTTGGGAGAAATCATAAGTTGCAGCAATTATAATTTGATGGGATATGCATGGTGGATAACTGAGTAGTAGTTGTTAGTTCTACAAAATGTGTGGTTATATTAAAGTTTGACTTCGACCTTTATATTATCATGTAATTATAATTTAAACCAAACAAGCACCATATCCAGCGTTAAACCAATGGGAAATATTTGTAATTGTTTAGATATTCATTATCAAGTCCATACGATACATCCAAATTACATTATGTTACTTCTAATCACTGATCAAATTTTGAACAATATGATCGTGAAGTTTCCTATGAACACCATACCGACAATAAATAGGACTGCAAAAGATCTAAAATCAAGCAATTTCATGGAGATAAGGACGTTGCTACCTGATTTATCAGTTTTTATTGTAGTCTCTGAGCTTCTAGTCAACTCCAGAATTGCACTTAGAACAATGCCAGACTGATCACCGAGTCGTATTCTAACATATTCTATGCAAGCCTACATCACATACATAAGTAATTAAAATTCCAAAATTGTGTTCTTACATTCATCGTGGTCTGTAGCTTACCAAAAGAAAGCAATTGTTTATATATATTACAGAATCATAGTTCAATAGCCCGTTTGGCACGGATTTTGCTTTGGCTTTGGCTATCTGTAGAAGAGCTTTGGAAGAAGCTATCTTAATTTTTATTTGAAAACTAATTTAATTTTTAAATACACTTTCTATTCTAAAAGTGCTTTTTGAGGAACCATATTGGACCAGCTTCCTCTAAAACCTCTTCTGCAAAAGCACTTTCATAAAATTAGTCAAACGAATACAAAAGCTGCTGTTGGACCTCAAAAGCGCCTTTTGGCTTTTCAAAAAACATGCCAAACAGGCCCCAAGTATATCAAAATAGGCAAGAAAATTTGTCAACCTCAGCATTGCTCCAAAAACTATTGACAACAACCAACCTTATGCCTCAGACGGCGCACGAATTCTTCGAAATTTACGCGCCAAAGAATTTCTTTCTTTCTACCAGAAGCTGACAATTCTGCATCTGAGAAATCTTGCTTCCACTATTTAACCCAAATAAATGGTAAATTAATAATGTTTTTGAAAACGAAACTTTAAACAGAAAAAAAATACACCAACCTTCTCATCAAGTGTTGCAACATTGTGAGTTTCCATTCCCTTCTCCTCAGAGGCACCAGTCAGAGGATCAATTTCCATCAAGAATCTTATCGACTCCATTGGAGTAGCTTCTGCCAAGGCCCGCTGTTCTATGGTCTTTGGTGCTTCAGCAATCTGTTATCATGTCCAGAGAGCTATTATAATTAAATAATGCTAACCAGTGAAAATAATTAGATAGAATAAAGAAATCAAGAAAGCCAATAAATAAATAAAAGGGAAAAGAAATAAGCTGACTGATATCCAGTTGCAACTCTGGTCCCCTAACCCAACCCATGGTTACAACTTTTTCCTGAAGTACCACCAGAGATGGGAGTTAATATGTCACGAAATCGAGTGATCTTTTTCCCCAGATATCATGGTTCTCAATGAAAGCATCTAGATATAAATGTAGCTAGTGGAAAAACTATGCTTCATCCCAAGTGAAATTTCTCAATAATCACTAAGAGCGCGTTTGAGAAGTGTTTATAAATGGTTTAAAATATAAATAGATAGAAATGAGTGGTAGATAAATAGGTCGTACTTGTAGGTCCCTCGAAATGTGTGGATAAAAAGTGTTTTGAGGGTTTCTAAATATGAGCCAAACATAGGCTAAGAAAGCATACAAACACATCTGAACTCCCAACACAATAATACATGAAGTATGGATGAAAGAATTCTAAGGAAGTCCATCTCATCACAGTTAGAAAATATGGAAAAGTGGGAAAAAAAATTGCAATAATAATTGCAGATTGATAGTGCATATATCTACTTTACTAAGCAAAAAATTTCTTCTTCAGTACACAAACCATATTAAACGAACAGTACTGTATGCTTGTTCCAAAAGCAACTACCTTAGCTGATTTGGTTCCCCTTCTCTTTGCTGGAGTTTCTTCTTCAGAAGAAGGCGCAAGAAATGGCTCAGGGGCAGGACAACGTTCAACTAAACGGGCATTCAGAAGTATACTAAAGCTTTCTTGCACAACATGTACATCAGAATTATCTGTGCAAATAATTAGAACATTTAGTGTAATAAAGTTGTTTAATGCATATCAGAGTGATGCAATTCCCTTGCCCCCATATACCCACTCCCCAATAATAAAATGGCATAAAGATGAGGCAGTTCCAAGATGAACATGAGATGAGAGAAATACATTTTAACTCTGGAAAATCATGTCATTATGATTGAGACTGTGTTACAGTACAAAAGATGAGGCAGTTTCAAGATGCAAAAAGGAATCTTTTCTTTCATTTAATCTAGGCGGTGGGCAGAGGAAAACACAGATGGTAAAGAAAAAATTTGGGCAGAAAATGTATTTTTTTTAAAGGTGTCAAAAGGGGAATAATCTACAGTGAAACAAACTATAAATTCCATCTCAGTCACTTATCACATCAATTAAAAACTTTGCACTAAAAGTGGCCAAATGCATGCATATATATGTATTCAAATTGAAAATGCCAATGCAGACAAGAAGATCCATGGATGTCATAAAGACCATGAGAAAGGACTTGATTTCTTCTTTTTAGCGAAAGTTACAGCTTTTGATATGGCTTAAGGAAAAAAAAAAGAAAGAAAGAAATGAAACTATCGAGCTGAAAGACTGGCTATTACTTTAGGCATTAACACAAGAAACTGTTTAGTTAATAAGAGGTCATCCACAGGGATAATTGTTTTGTAGCGAGAAAGTAAAGCAGTATCTGCCATTACGAAATTAGGACTCGAAACTATGATTTGTAAAATATATATTCAAATTTGAATTTTACATATTAACTAGCTCATCAACTTATTATCCAGATAATCATGAACAGTTTGCAATATAGAGGCCAAGAGGCTTACATTTACATTTTGCAAAGCATAAATAAAAAATAACATGCAAAAATATCCAAGCCCAAAACCATCAAACTGAACAATATTATGCTCAAGAAGCACCTAAAATGTATAATAACAGAAGTAACTTGACCTGGCGTCTGCTTATTCCTATCAATAATTTGATTAAGAGAAAGCCTTCCGTGTTGAAGCAACCCCTCAAAAATCCCTAGGCACTGCATGTACCAATTCATACTTCATCAAGAATAACTCCAATAAAATATTTTTGATAAATATATCAAAAATCAATTTCAACTTCAAGTATCACAAATATCCATGTAACCAAACAAACTAACAACAAAACCTCACATCTAACCCAAGCTCTTCAGAAACAATTTGCATGAACTTCGGGAACCTCATTTTGTGAATCACGTTGTCAAATAGAGCCATGTACTGCGTCACAATTTTAGGCGCCTCGCCAAATGCAACTAAAGTTCAAATCACAGAAACTTCAAATTAACAAACAGAACTAACAAGTTCTACCCAATCAAATTCTGAGGCCAATGACACACCTTCTTGCTGAATGGAGAAGGCTTGGACGCAATTTTGGTGGATTAAAACTCGTAAACAGTTTACCACATTTTCTCTGCTGAGCTCTGTGAATCGAATTATTTGCATCAGAGTTAGGGTTCCTCTGCTGAGCAAACACTCACATACTTTCTGCAACAAAACAAAAACATAAGTAAATAATTATTCAGAGAAACAGTGGTGAATTGATTAGTTACAGATTGTATAAAGTGAGTATTACAGAGCAAAAGTCGCCATAGGAAGCGGAAATCAAATAGGTGGCGAGTTTGATTCCGTATTGCGAGACCATGGCTGCTTGTAGAGAGACAGAGAGAGGAGAGAGGCGCGGAAAGTCGGTTTGGTTATATTGAAAAACCAAACAGAGCCAATTATTTCAGTGAAACCAAAACTAACCAAACTTAATCAGTCAGTTTGGGATTGACGCTTGGGCATATCTATGTGCTCTGCTAATGGAATGATGGATCACAGCTGCCACACCAGAAAAAATTATCAAATGACAGAATACCAAAGATGGTGAGTCTAATTGTTGTTGGGTCTGCAAAATTACACAATGGATTTTCCATATTCCCAATTGAGAAAGATTTTGCAAGAAAGAATAAGAGTAGGGTGAAAAATTAAGTGCTCATGGTTTTGTTCCTTACATGTAACGGGCTCGGCGATAGAGGAGGGGTGGTGCAGCGCCTTGTACAGCCAATATTAGGAAACTCCCCCAGTTCGATATACAGCCTGAGGCCGCCAGAGTGTGCAACGGCGAGAACTAGGTTCACTTCAATCGGCGAGCGTTTGAGTCGATTTTGATTTTGTTTTTGGTTTGGGCTGTGCTAGGTGTACATGAGTGTCAGCCCTTAAATTGCGGGCCCCACCTCTTTGTGAGAGGGCTGTCCAGCTGAGCGGACACTCCGTATTTTTCTTCTGGTTTGGGTTTAAATCTCAAAAAACTATTTTAATCCCGGCCGGGTCGGTTTGGGTCAAGTGACTCAAGTCCGGGTTTGTCGCAAAATCGAAATCCAAACAGACTTGGCTCAATGGTACAACATTTGATTGCAGATCAATAGGTGACATGGTCTTAAATTTTATTCCATCTTGCAATTTTTTATTTCCAAATTTTCAGGTATTGGCTGTTGAAGTCCAAATCTTATCACAATTGTTCATTTTTTACGATTATGTTTTCATTGAACTTAAAACAAAAGAAAAAGAAAAGAAATTCCAACCAAACAGATGCAGCAAGGAGAGCCACAGTCTATATTCTGGGAATTACAAAACCCACAAAAAATATGAAATCTCTCGTTCTTATAAATATTCCAAACAAAAAACTGCTCAATCTTAGTTTATAGAGATTTCTGGAGACGTGTCTTTTTTTATTAAAAAAAATGTATAATTAGAAAGTAGGGAGAGGATATGGGTTGACATGTTGGGAGAATATGGGATCGAAAATGAATTTAAGAAAATAAGAATTTTTGAAAATAAAAATCAACCAAGGCTCAATCAATTCCTTTTCCGTGCTTTCCTCTGTCTTTTTTTAATCGAACATCTCCACAAATAGTTTGTCGTGAATTAGGGTCTCATGTTGACCTCAAGATTATTGGTGGTGGTGACAGTAACAATAGAGGGGAAGGGAGAGTTGGGACATGGGATATAGATGGTTGTTGGTTGGGGTTGGGGTTAGGGTTAGGATTAGGATAGGGTGAGTGGGGGTGATTGAGGAAGATGAAGGCAATAATTTTGGTTTTCTTTTTTAAAACTATTTCTTTTGTTTTAAAAAGTAGAATGAAGAAAGGTAATTAAAGAGTGTTTGGTCCTTCTTACCCTTCTTACTTAGAAATGCACGTGCAGACCTAACGACCATTTTGGATAAAATTCGTAAATTTATAGATACCGGTCTAACATGTTACAATCAACATACATGGGCATCTACTTGCATATTGATCACATATGAACATATATTTCACATCAAATTTATGTACACGAAATTAAATTAGGAAACAAAATATACTTTTATAAAATTAGACACACGAGAGTAACATGACAATTTAAATGAATTTGAACTTTTGTTATTATTAAGGACTAATTGTCTTGCTACAATGAATAAATAAGAACAAATTTGTTCATTTTTAATTGCTTAATATTAAGGCCCCGTTCAGGAATCGGGAGGGATTAAAAGTCAATTAAAATTGAAAATATGGTCGTTATTGGGCCCCACTCGTCTAATAAAAGTCAACAATAACGGCTATATTTTCAATTTTAATCTGATTTTAATCCCTCCCACACAAGCCCTAATTTACTATTGAGAGAAACATTGAAGTATGTCGGTATAATTTCCACGGTTGGCACGTAACGAGAGCACAATGTCCTAATTCTTAAAATGTATAAAAAGTAGAAGGTGCCCACAATTTGATGACAGTTCAACAAAAGATAGTCAAATCCTAAGCCAGTTTTCAAACCTTTTGGACTACTTTCATACTAAAGAGAGAACATGAAAACCCCATATGCTCAGTATCAAGGATGCAAATCAACGTTAATGCATCGTGTGTAGATCATGTGTAAGACTTGGACACCAATTTGCCTTTGGAATTCTTGCTACTTGGTACCGCAACTTGACTCCTCGTGCATGCTACAATCAACATGTTAATAATAATAATCCATTCACCACATAAATCGAGACATCAAAATATGTCAAGACTATTAGGTGATTTTA